AGAGAGAGAGAGAGAGAGAGAGAGAGAGAGAGAGAGAGAGAGAGAGAGAGATCATCAACGCAAAACAGGCCTAACTGCATATTTTGCCAAGCACCCACGTTTTTCACCAAACAAATCGAAGCTCTGGAAAATACACGCAAGCGCTTCCAACTTCACCAGTCTCGAGCTCTTTGCTAATTGCAAAGAAAGAAAGTAGAGGCAAGAGAAGCGGGCAATTCTGCACTACGGTGGTAAGAGGGGGAAGCAGAAAGCGGCAAGAGAAAAAAAGAGAGGAGGGGAAGGATGCTTCCCTAACCGCCAGCGTCTTTACCTGAGCGTTTGGTGCCAGAAATGACCTGGTTTTATGCTGTTTGGGAAATAAGAACCGTGTGAGTTCCATGTTGTGTTAACAGGCCTACTTTAGCGTGTAGCCTAACATCATCGTTCCTCCAGGAAGACATTTTGGCCGCTCTAACGTTTAGAATGGAGGGCCAGTATAGTCGAATTCTGTCGTTAGTGAAGTTCCTTTCCTTGAGGTGAGTATGAGAGACAGAAAGCGTTTGATACATCTTCAGAATTAATATCTTAATTTAGATAGATAGAGATATATATAGTGGATTAAGAAGAATTAACTATTGTTGATAGAATACTGCTATAAAATAATACTTAACACGATGCCAAGGAGTGATGCACGAATGACGAGCTTACTAAACAGCTAAGCTTTATGACTCCAATAATACTTCCCGCTGGACTTGTACTTGTAGAACAACAATAGCAGCTGGCAAGTAATAACATATTATAACGCGTGTTAAATATTGTGCTAGGCGAATGATTCATGATATGTATAGTAATGATGGTTGTTGTTGTTGTTTGTTTCCAGTTGGACTTATCTCAGAAAAGTTAAATGTTTATCCTAAAATGATATATCTATGTATAGACTATTTATCTGTCTATCTATCTATCTATCTATCTATCTATCTATCTATCTATCTATCTATCTATCTATCTATCTATCCATGTAGGCCTATCTATATCTATCTGCTTATCTATCTGTCGATGCGTACAGTGCAAAAATTCGCATAGACAATGATATTTTGGGTTGCAAAACGAGGGGTGTCATAAGTGATGAAGAAGTAGGACGAGCGAGGAGGAGGAGGATCGAAGAGAAGGAGAAGAAAATGAAGAAGAAAGAATTTTGAGGAGTAACGGCTATAAAAAGAAATCGCATGGCATGCATGCCATGCACGTGTGTGTGCGTGCGTGCGTGCGTGCGTCGTGCGCATATAAAGTATGATAGCTGGAGTAATCGGGTGGCACAGCAAAGATGTAAAAGTACACCCCTCAGTTTTAAAGGAAATTCAGGCGTATATTATTATATGCGTGTGGAAGAGAGATTTTTTGAGAGAGTATTTATTATATATGTATACTGGCGTGCGTACGTGCGTGCGTGCGTGCGTGCGTCGTGCGCATATAAAGTATGATAGCTGGAGTAATCGGGTGGCACAGCAAAGATGTAAAAGTACACCCCTCAGTTTTAATGCTAAAGGCAAAGCTTATGAGCAGAATTACGAGTGTGGGTGGATATGTAAAATCCAGGGAATAGTCTGACGTGTTCTTCATGTTATATTGTTAGTAGTAGTAGTAGTAGTAGTAGTAGTAGTAGTAGTAGTAGTAGTAGTAGTAGTAGTAGTAGTAGTAGTAGTAGTA